CACTAATACTATGCCCTTTGTATACAGTACTTAGAATTTTAAATCCATTTCATTCACTAGAGATATCTCTTTATTAAGATATTCTTGAAAGGGTGAGTATACCCAAGTATTAATTACTGAGAGGTAAACCAGTGTAAAACAAAGGTCAGCTAAGAAAATATTCAGAAATTTGTTCTTGGTACACTTCTCAATGTTGGCTGAATTCAAATGTAAGTCATCCTTTGATTAACATCTTCAACAAATAGTAGCCACTTCGTGAGTCAGATATTCTCTTTCAGGTTCTTGGTCAAAAACAAAAATAAGAGAGATAGAAAATAAGAGAGGGACACGAGAATTATGCCCTTACCAGATGAATAAGAAGTCCAATTCTTTTGTCAATGTAATACTAACAACTTTTGCCAAAGAAGATGAACTGGAGTGTGGGAGAATGTTGTTATCATTTAGCAGAAAGTTTAGGTAACATCCAGTGGAGCCAATGTTGGCCTGGGAATCATGAAAGGGTAATGATAGAAGCAGTTTCTTTTCAGTTTTCTCACTGACAAAAGGATAACTTTAAGGTCAGTCTATCTCAGCCCCTTTTAGTAGCTAGGTTTCTCTTGGCATGTGAAATGAGAAGACACTTGTCATGTGGGCTTCTACAAAGGGAACAGCAAGCCTCTCTTTCCTGGAGATCTTTTGACGAGTTGTGAGGAAATATTCCAATGCTGGTGACTTTTTCTGCCCCTTTACATGGAAGTTACTGATCCTGTCAATGGATGTAAAAATAAGTTGAAAAATTATCCTGATCCTGAACAATCAGAGAAAGAAAGTATGGAAAATGTACATATATAATGGATACTGGTCATGCAATATTTTCTAAGGGAGTGTTTCTTTTTTCTTTTTTTTTTAATCTAGGTAACATCATATTATAACATGAGTTGTAGGCATGTATCACTGAAAATCAATAGGTGTATGCACTACATTCAGTTCACCACTGAAGGTCCTGTACCATTCTATTGTCCATACCATTATCAGAGCAGTGGCCACATACTACTAATCTGTGTATTTGTCTAAGTTCCAGAAAGGATGGGTCATTAATTTTCCTCAGTTTGTCCTCTCAACTTATGCAGGGACTATGTCATGGTAGCTAAGAAATATGTCTTTATAAATGTTTTGAAGGGAAGAAGAATAAGGACAATATGAGTTAGAATTGGGATATAATCTATTGTTCTTGCAAAGGGCAGTAGAAATGTGTAGGAATTATAGGTTTCCTTAGAGAGAAGGAGACCTGTGAAGTACCTTCTTGATAAGTCAGACAATCTAAGACAGAGGGCCTTAACCAGATGAGCAATAGGACTGGGGACCATAGTGGATCTTGGTGCTTCCTGGAGTAATGTACAAGGTTTCTATGGACACAGGTGCACAGATAGCATATCTTAGATTCTAAAGTAGATGGTAACCACACACAGACACACAGAAGAAGTATTAAAAGGACCTGGGGGCCCTCCTGGTGGCGCAGTGGGTTAGAGCACAGCACTAAGAAGCAAAAGCCACTACAGCATGAGTTCAGTCCCTGCCCTGCAGTGACCCACATGACACAGCAGTCCTCTCTTGACCCGCCCTCTCCTGACCAAAGATACACTGCTCCCCTCAGCAATGTACTTCGTCGATCTGCCTGTTCTGCTCCCCACTCTGTCTCTGGCGAATCCTCTCATCGCCCTTGCACCTCTAGCCTCTGGCCTGTACCCCCATTCTGTATGAATAAATAAATAAATCTTAAAAAAAAAAAGGACTTGAGTGGGGCTCTCACTCAACTATATGAATATTTCAGATAAGAGGTGGAATTCTTTATAACAGTAATATTTAAAGGAGTTTACAGTGAAACAGTTCTCAGATATCACTTTCCAACTTGTTTCTCCCCAGAACATTTCCTGTTCAAATGGAATACAATAATTAATACTAAACTCACTTAATAAATAATAAAGTAACTTTAGTATTATACTAAAGAAGCATGTTTATGTCCAGGAGGGAAATCTAAGTAAAACAAGTTAAAGGTAGTTGGTTTTGTCTCTGACATGCTGCAATATGTGTCTTGAAATTATTTATTCAAATAGACACGATGATAAATTGTGGAACTACAATAATATGGGGGAAAGATCTTTACCGTTACAGAAATTAAAATTTCAGGACACAACTTCCAACAACAAATGCAGAGTGTCATTGTAAGTGCTAAAAAGAAGGTGTGGTGAGCAGGGTACACAATGAAAGCATGGAGAATAGGAAACTAAGCTAGCCCTGGACCTGATGTCAAGCTTCTCAGAGGAGATGGCAATACACATCTAACATTCTATAGCACTTACTACCCTCTGGAATCTGGGATGGCTCTAAGATGTTAGTTCAGTGACACCTCACACACTGTTGAGGCACAGAGAAGCTAAGTACTCATGCAGTCACATGACAAGTTATGGACAGGGTAGGATTCGAACCCAGGCCTTCTGGTACATGATTTCACATGTTTGTTATTCTATTATCACTATGAGTCAGGCCTTCAATAGTGGCACTGTAAATAGCAGTATGCCACATTAGAACACGTGGGGAGAGGAGTATCAGGTGGGAAGAAGATAGAAAAAGACAGAGGAGAATCATTTCCAGCTTCTAAGAGTTAAATGTTTACTTAATTCAAATTTAGATTCAATAACCTTTATCAGGCTCAGATTTCCCCATAACCTCTTCTCCAGTCTTTCTCCATTAACAGCCTCCTTTCTGTGAGGTATTTTATTTTCACATATAGAGTTTATGTCATGTTGCATTTTCACTCAGCTTCAAAGATACTGACTTCATCCTTCTAATCATCTATTCACTCACTCATTTATTGACTCATTTAAAAAGTTTTACCCTGTCCCTTTTGGATGGTCCATACAGAAGTTCCCACAAAAAGATACAAAAAAAAATTATAAATTCATTGAAGACTAAGGTGGAAATGTTCCTTGTCTTAGTTTTTTCTTTGTATGCTCTCTGAGACATCTAAATTGGAAAAAATAAGTAAAAATCACAAAAAGAATCCTGGAGAAAAGGAGGAAAATAGCTTCAATTTCTTCTCAGCCCATTAACAAAAAAAATAGCACCTGCACCTGTCTATGACTTCCCAGCCACTTATTAGGCTGATCTAACAAGTTTCTTTAAAATTTGGTGACTTGGATTTGCATTCTGCTCCTTCCCCTGGGGCGTCCTGAATGGAATCCAGAGTCCCACGAGTCACTGTGTTCCCTCCTTTAGGTCACCAGGAAACCCATGAGCTCCAAGCTGCCACCCACGCTCAGAAACCGACCTTGGTTCTGGGAAAAGTACCGCTGATTATTTGTTCTTATGTTGTCCCTGCTGACTCTTACTGTAATATTGTTAACAAAAAAAGTTCTCTTTGATGGAACAAATATATTCCATTTTGACTATGTCATGAATTTCATCTGGAATAATGAGACTTTCGATACCTTTTGTAAGTCACCTCTTTTTTACATCACTTGTCTGGCGGCACTGAGAATAGTCCTCCCCGAAAATGGATCCATTTACAGTCAATCATAGAGTAGCTAGTGGTCATTTTTCTTGGGAAAACTAAATGTGCACCTCTTATCCCATTATACTGATCCACCAGCTTCAGGTTATCTGATTTTCTAGCTTCTCATTTTCTCCTGTATCTTAATGCTATTACTGAAAAGAATTCTGTTGCTAATGGTTTGGAAAGTAATATGTGTACTTTAAGCCACTACCAGTATTTTTATGTTTTGTCTGATTTAGCTGGACTTTGATATTTATCCCAAATGCTACACTGTTGTGGATCAAATGTGAAGAGCTCTTATGTCACTCAAGATCTATTTTCAATGTTTTTAAAATTGCTACAAGAGAATGGAGCTACTATTTTAACTATTAGTAATGAGTCACTAAGTGGAAACCACCTTTAAGTTTATATTCTTAAGTTTATACTTTCATTGAGGTAACAGTAGTGTAGTCTTACGCCTTATGAGAGATAAATATGGCCTATATATATGTAGGGATAGATATATAAGCACAAACAGAAGGGAGCGAGAAAGACTTTTTAATTTTAAGACATGAGTTTTGTGAATATCTGCACATATTTTTTCATGGTGAAATTTTTCTTCTGAAGTATAATTGACTTTTTTAAACCCATAAAGATTATATTTAGAATCAATTGTATAAATATGCTCTATCAAGCTCCCAGGTCATTATTATGTTTTAATACCTTTTTGTGTACAGTTTCTACATTAGAAATAATCTCTCAATCAATTTTGTCAAAATACTAAAAGATCTATCTATCTACCTGCCTATCTATAGCTATCTTATTTATGTCTTATGGAGATCTATTGTTTTGACTAAATCATTTCAGGATAAGGTATAAAGGCTTTTCATTTCTGGATCAAATCTAGTTATTTCTAGGGTTCAAGTAATTTCAAACAGTTTTTAACTTTCTTTTTTGAGTTCCTACTTTCTATAAAGACTATGCTAATTCTGAGATACTTTGGTGAATAAACTGGACATAGTCTCTGACTTCATGGAAGTCATTTTACCTGTGAGGAACGTGCCTAAAGAACTCCAACTACTAGGTGTTTTTCTGGGAATGTGTTCCCCCGCCCCATACCCCCGAAAAAATGTGTAGGATATGCTGTTAGAAACTTCCTACAGTTCTGTATTTCTTTCATTCATTCAAAAATAAAATTTTTTTGACCATGGTGTTTTTATACAATGAACCTCATTGGTTGAACTGCTAAGACCAAAATCTAGGCTTTCTGAAGAATTACTTTTGACAGTCTAGGGTTCCTGGACACCCCAGGTAGTGGTCTCAAATTCGTGTGCAGGAAACTCACCTGGGCCCTTGCATAATAGAGATCTAGCGATGACCTGGGTTTTTGCACTCTTAATAACACGAAAGTTCCTGAACCTAGCCCTGGAAGAGAGCCCTGAATAGATTTCAGATGGTTCTGTTTAGCCTTGACATAAACATAAAGAGCATGGTTATTTTCAATGAGAAGGTCTACAGGGATTTAGGAGACTCATTCATTTCTCAAAGCGGTCAGCAGTGTGCAATGATTAGGAGTCGCGACTTTCAAGTGAAAGTGAGTACTGGTAAAATCAATCAGGCAGTCATCAACAAGAACTCACAGTGAAGATAAATGACAACAAGAGGGAAGACTTTCAATGTGGAAATACATACTTAAGTAGTACTGTAATGTCTTTTTTTTTTTTAAGATTTATTTATGCATACAGAACTGGGAACTGGGGTACAGGGCAGAGGTGCAGGGGCGGTGAGAGGATTCACCAGAGACAGTGGAGAGCCGAACAGGCTGACTGTCAAAGTACACTGCTGAGGGGAGCAGCCGGCGGTCAGGAGAGGTCTGCTGCGCCAAGTGGATCACTTCGGGGGCCAGGATCGAACTCATGCTGAAGTGGCTTTAGCTTCTTAGTGCTGTTCTTTAACCCATTGTGCCGCCAGGGAGGGCCACTGTAATGTCTTTTAAACAACAGTTTAGAGCCCTCCCTGGCGGCGTAGTGGGTTAGGACGCACGCAGCACCTGCAAGCTAGGCACAGCTACTTCAGTGCCAGTTCCTTCTCCAGCCCCGGAGGTGACCCACATGGAGCAGCAGACCTATCCTGTCTCTCCCACTGCTCAGCAGTGTACTTAGTCCATCTGCCTGTTCTGCTCCCCACTGTCTGCAGTGAATCCTTTCATCGCCCCTGCACCTCTGGCCTGTACCCCAGTTCTGAAGGAATAAAAAAATAAACAAATCTTTTAGAAAAACAGTAGTTCAACGTGAAAGTCCCAGAAGTTAAAAGATGTGTTAGTGAATGTGTTTATTGGTTAAGAAATCTGAGAATTGATAAGTTTTAAAAACCTTTACTATTACTAAATAAATAGAGTTAAATATGCTAATATGCATTGTGAATCACTTTAAAGCATACTTAGTATGCAGTAATTTCCAAACCTATTTCATCATAGAACGCTTTTCAAGTGATTTGTGTGTGTGTGTGTGTGTGTGTGTGTGTGAAATACTTTTTAGCAGAGGGACCAGCAGGAGTTCTTCAGTGCAGCATAGAAATAAGTAACTTTCATCATAACTCTGCCATGAAGAAAAAATTAAATTGTGTTCTAAACAAAATAATAGGAAAGCAGAGAATTTTTATCGCATTGTAGAAAGTTTTTCTTAATATTTCATAGAGGGGGTAGGGAAAATAATTTATATTAAAATAAAACCCTCAAGTCTCTAGTTATTATCTGCAATGGACTATTCATTATTATTTAGTGGTAAGTTAAAAACCTCGCTCTAAAATAGAAATTTAATTTTTCTCTATTATTGTTGGGATATAGAAAAATGTGTATTTCCTAAGAACTCTAGAACTCATCCTATAATAAAGCAAAAATCATTACTTCAGATACTTAATAATAATGGTATGTATTATTACCTATATATAGACAAAGGCCAGATTGACTGAGAGAGCAAAGGAGAACCAGAGAACCTCTGATTGTATCTAGATAAGGTTTTCCAAAGAGTTGACTTGGAGGAGAGTGGCAAACAGAATCTTGAAAGGAGAATAAAAGAGAGATTAATTTATTGAAATCAAAAGGAAAGCAAATATCTGCTGGGGGAAACTTTTTTCTAATATGATTAACAGTGAAGCATCTAAAGGACATAAAATAGAAATGTTTAGACAAATAGAAATCATGACCTAAAGTGTTATGATTAAGCACTAGCCCTGTAAGACGTTGTGAGGGAAATAAGTCAAATTAATTTGTAATGGTTTCACCTTTATGTTTAAATTTGCTTTAATTAGACATTCACAAAATAAACTTATCACAGAATTATCTTCCCATATATTCAGAATCTCAGTACTCTTTAGAGAATACTGAGCTAATAGTGACAGGTAGTAAAGACTACTAATTAATGGACCTCTACAATAATCACAGCTTCTTGGGGGAAAAAAATGATTAGATTTAGGTCACACATATTATTCTGTTCTTTTTCATTATTAAGTTATAAAGATTCTTTGAATGGAAATAGATTTACCTTTTAATTCTTCATTTATGGAATAGATGATCATTCTAAATCCAGGTCATGAAGTAAAAATACCTTTATGTAGAATCTCCAGACTCTATACTTTTTAAACAAATAGTACACTTAAATCATAGTGCTTTGAATCTTAAGAATTGTGGGAGGGAAGTGTTTCTTTGCAAACTTTATAGATGTTAGAATTGAGCTACACAGTATTCTTAAATATGTTAAATTCTGATCAAGTTATGGAGTGACCTTTCATCATAAAGACTTAGGAAGTATTCTTAAATTCTATGAATATTTGACTTATTCACATTTTAAATCTGAAAGGAACATATTTAAAATTTAGAAGATTAAATTAACTTCACCCCTCAACCCCTTTTACATGAGCAAAACTTAAATGAAATTAAACAGTCCAAGTGAAACTCAAGCAACACATAAACAGAACTAGTTGTTCTCTTTTCATTTGAGGCTATAGTTTTTCTGGAAAAATTGTAGTTATATGCTGCAAGTACATGCTTATATTTTCTGGTAGGCCTATGGAATATTTTTTTAATGTGACTATGACATTTATGTGCAGTTATTATCAATTTAGAGATAAAAATTTAAGTTGGTAGATTACTTCTCTCTAGCTACAGGCACCTTAATATTTTTGGTCCTCAGTAAAAATTGTATCTTATGACTACAAATTTGATACCAACATTTAAAAATTTCACTGAAGTAGATTACTCACTATATTGTTATAATTCTTGAATCTTGCTTCTAAATTCATGAAATGAAGATAATCTTTATCCAGTGATAAAAATATGCATAGTACTCTTTAGTATTATTTTTCTCCAGACACTTGGTGCTTATTTTATTAGAGTTTACAAATTTTCTAATTTGTAATTAAGCTTAAAACATTTCTTAAATTCATGTTTTAAGAGATGGTTTATTTAAATTCCTTAAAACATGGTCAAAACTGCCATTTAATGATGTCAACCTTATTCTTCAGATGCTTAAATCTAAGGTATTTGCTAGCCTGTTAAAATGTCAAAGTGACTTAAGGAATAGCATAATTATAAGAGAGAACATTTATACTTATAATTGTATTGTTCTTATGAAAGCAATAGATATCACAATTATTTAGACAGAAATTATTTTTAAATATAATTTCGTGAAATATGAAGTCTATATACAACTAAGTTAATTTGCTGCTTCTTAATAATATAGAAATAGTACTCCTAACATATTGAAGACATGACATATTCTTTACCTAGACTTTTTTCTTTAAGATTTCTATTTTAATTTCATACTTAAACAAAATATCTAGATCCCAGATATTAATATTTTACCATATTTCCACATTTGCATTCTTTCTTGCAAAGTATTCCTCCCCAACTGACAAGAGGTTGCAAACATTTGCCTTTATATATTTCAGTGTCTATTTCCTATAAACAAGGATATTCTCTTTAGTAACCATAGTGTAGTTGTATAAATCTGAAAATGAGTAATCAGACAGTAATATCAGATTGTAAATTTTGCTCAGATTTCACCACATTACCCTAATAGTGTAGTTTATACTAAGATTTAATAAATACACTTATTATCCATTGACTATGGAAAGACATTTTAGAGTCTTTTTGACTAGAACTTCTGCAAGTCTTTGTGTTTTCTAATATGACACATTTGAAGAACACAGACCAGTTATTTTATAGAATGTCCATCAGTGAGGGTTTGTCTGTTGTTTCCTTGTAATTAAATTCAAGTCATGAAAGACTTAAAAAAATGAGATTAACACAAATTTTACAACAATAAATAGCATTCCTATTTATAATTTTAAGTCAATTTATTTGCGTGTTATATTTGAATCAAACAAAATACTTACCTCCAGTTTCCCAGAAGAAAGAATCCCTAAGAGATTTTATATATGTATTTTAAAGAACAAATTTAGCTTATTTGTTGAGATTCTTCTTGGTTTTGATGAAATCACATAGATCTAATAATTAAGAAAACAAAATGTAAAATAGTACTGATTTTCTCTTTTCAGTGACTCCTGAATGTCGACAGAAAGGAAAAAATTTCTTCCTTTCCTTAGATGAACTCAAATTCTTATCACAGCTTGTAAAATCACTTTGGAAGATGGAAAAGGATGTCCAAGAATTGTTTGAAGATATGTTTTTATCATTCAATATACCCACAAATGCTTCAGGTAACAAGTTCTTTTATATTAGTTCACAATTTTTCTGGATTTATTTCATACCTCTGAATCTATACCATTAACGTAAAAAAAAGATAGAATACTGTAAGTAAACCTTAAATGTAAGTCATCCTGGAATTATATTTCTTTTCTTTATACACATAAATTCCATTATTTTTTTCTAGTTGACAATACTTCATGAATTAGTTCTAGATAATTGTCTTTGTCGAGTCTGATTTTCTTTTTCAATTCAAAAGATTAGAAGATCTGGAGCATCCCTTCTGCTTACTAGCAGCCTGAAGATCTTGAACAAAATATTAACTTCAGTAGACCTCAGTTTTCTCATCTCTAAAATTATGGTATAGGAGCTGACTAATTTTCTTGTTTTAGAAAAATGTTTCTAATTTTTCTCAAGGCTAGACAATTTTATTTCAATAGTTTAAATAAGGTTGAGAATTAAATGATTTAGTATATGTAAAGTGTTTAAAAGAATATTTAGCAAATAATAATCAATAAAAATTAGTTCTTAAGATAGTTAAGTCACCATAATTGAACAAATTAACAGAAAAAATACATAAATTATGTCACAAAAGATGTCTTATCCCAAATTAGGTATCATATGAGGAATGTGTAGATAAAAGTTTATCTAATAATACATCGTCTTAAGTTTAGTCTTAACCAAATCATGTGTGTTGAAATGTTTCTAATATTAAAGGTGGAATTCAAAAACATAATGGTTATGTTCTCTATTATAGTATCTATAGTGTAAAATATTGTCTTCTATTTCAGAATGAATGATAATAAAAAGTTCTCTTACATTATACCATTTTAAGAGAACAAACCTTGTGATTGCATTTGCAAAAAACTACCACTATGAAATTTTAACCCCCACGACAGATGTCTTAGAAGAGAATACCTGAATTAGATTTAGTTGAATATGTCTATTTTTATTTTGATTTATTTACTTTGCTTGGCTAAAAACTACTAGAAAAATTATAGGGTTGAAGTGAATTCAGTAGTAACTTACTGAAACTTCTCTGTTTTGGGTGAGGTTTAGGTAGCTCTATTGAAAATAAAGTAAATAATGTAGATAATTTTTCCAAATTTAGAGATAATTTGAAGAGATTATAGATTTCTGAACCTGACAAGAAAAACTAAGTGGAAAACAATCAAAATATTAGACAAATTATAAATTAAAATATTGAAAAATTAAATTTAATTAGAAATGATGTGGGTACTAATGGGTCTTCTGGATGATACTGAATGTGTCCAAAAGGAGCTGAAAAGAGAGGTATGACCGCTTCATCTTTGATTGACATGTTGATGCCTCAGTTAGTTGACACTTGGCATTAGTACTCATCCATCATCCCTGGCATCCCTCATCCACATCTCTAGCATGGTATTTTTTAGGGGTGAATCACAAAACAGTGAAATATAGAACATCTGGACCTCAGGCTCATCATGTATTTGTCTGAGGCAAGCCAAATGAAAGATGAAGTCAATTCTGAGAACTTTTAGTCTTTGTAAGGACAGTATAAGTTCAAAGTAGAATTATGTTAGAGAGGTGTTGTAAAGACTTACAACAAAAATGGTTAAGAATTGAAGCAACATTTTGCCAGAATGATTTTGGAGGTGGGAGAAGGAGAAAAGAAAGAACAGATACACTTAAACTAGATTAAACTCAAGCAATGTTTAAACTTGCAAACTATATTTTGAGAGTTATAGTCACCATAATTGAACAAATTAACAGAAAAAAATACATAAATTATGTCACAAAAGATGTCTTATCCCAAATTAGGTATCATATGAGGAATGTGTAGATAAAAGTAACTTCACTATCACATAGTGTATTGTAGGTTTTCAAACATAGCATGTGGAAGAATTTCTAAAGATAGTTGTAGGAAATGTCTAAGTTCTAGAACATCTCCTTGTGGCATATGTATTCTTCATTGTGGAAATTCAGATGTTTTTTGGTAACCAAACTAAGATTGACTTAATCTGATATCTCTCTATATGAATGACTCCCTGAAAAGAATGATGTTGACGGAAATTGTCAAGAAAAATCTTAAATGTCTTATTAAGTGTAGCCAAGTTAAGCAATTCTTATCAAAAGCATTAGTTTCTTAAATCAGAAAGGGAAAGATTCCTTGAAATGGATGATTAAAGAAACCAAATGTATCTTAAATTATTCTGATAGTTAATGTTTTACTTAAAAAATCTTTTGAGGGAGAGAATGAGGTGGAGGTGGGGGAAACCCAAGTCCTTTAGTTTCCTGAGTATTTCTTTTGATTGAAGCATATTTTACTAATAAAGATCTTGGAAAGAGTTGCCTACTATGTCTACATAACCAAAACAATGTGCTGAAAGGAAGGTGTTTTTTTTTTTTTTTCATCATCCAGATGTTTTAAAAATATCCAGGTGCTTAACATCACATAGAGAAAATATAAAGATGATTAACAAAATACTTTGTTTTCTACTTTGGTATTTAATACTTTATTGTAGACCCAGCCAAACTGGCAGTACTTATAGTCATTTGAATGTGATGCAATAGATTTTGTGGAGACATACAAAATATTTTTTCTGAGAAAGTACAGATAATTAGTTATTATTTTTATTTGCTTTTGTTTGGTCATGATTTGATGATTTTTGTTTTGGGGGTTTCACAAATTGATAGGATGTTATTTGACTGGTATGATGCCATACTGTATTTCTTTTAGTTGATATCTTAGGGAGTAGCCTCAGGTCTGATTTATGGGGCATTTCTAAAACCCCTTCAGAATAAAGTTGTTCTTTGGGCAGTTCCTCAATTTCTCCAAAGGTGGCATCTGAGATTTATCTAAACCAGGAGGTTTCTTGGCCCTCATTTTTCTATAGCCCCAGCAATGACAAAGAGCAATGGCTGCTTCAATTGGATGTAAGAAGAACACTTAGGGTTTGTCTCAGAAGAATCAAAGATTTCAGATCTTCTGAAAGATTGTTTGTACTCTTAGGGGGTCTTAAGAGGGGTCAAATGGCTTCTAAGAGTTCCTTGGCTGGATGGTTAAGGGATTGTATTAGGGAGGCGTATATAGTTAAGGTAAAGAGGCTCCTAGGGTTTGTAAAGCTCATTACACTAGGACTTTAGCTGTTTCTTGGGCAGAGAGGTCGAAGGCTTGCACATTGGAAATTTGCAAGGTGGCCACCTGGGCTTCTCTTCATACTTTTTCATAGTATTATCTCTTGGATGTAGTCTCTTCTACAGATTCAGCTTTTGGTGGGAGGTTGCTTGTGAGCCAGAAAAGAACAGTGAAGAAAAGAAAGACTTACAGTTCCCACTCAGAGCTGCCAACAAGGCAAGTTGCTTTGTAGTGCACACAATGGGAGCCTATGAAGACCAATTTGGGTGTGAAAGTGGATGTCACAGGGAAGTACTGCCAACCTCTACTCTATGAAAGAAAGCGGCAGTGTGGAAACTAACCAGAAGTATAAAATGAACCACAGCGAACTCTGTAGGGGGAGGCTGTTCAGCAGCTGGCATTCCTGTGACTCTCTGCACTCTACCGAGGTCCTTAATCTGGGTGTTTTCTTAAAGAAACCACCATCGAGTGCATGCTAGTAACTATATTTCAGAGTGATGAGTCCAAAGTGGACTACCTTTTCTAGACAATGCTAATAATTGTATAGAATTTTCAATGTACGTTAAAATAGGTGAAATCATTTGTCAAATGTTCACAGAGCTCATGAAGTTTTACAATACTGAATTTTAAAAATGACCATTTTGAATTCCAAACAAATGTAAAAATAACAATTTGTTAAAATCATGAGATTTATTTGCCTAAGTTCAATATTACTATCTACATAAAGTGATCCTTTTTGCTTCTCTGTACACGATTATGATTAGTTCTAATGTCCTAAAAATTTGTGGAGGGGGATTATATCTTAAAGGCTATCATAATTATTTGATAATTCATATTTTTAAATTTTACCACAGAATTGCTTTCCAACAAGAGAAGTCTTGGTAAGCTTACCTTTGAGTAAATCAACATGATGTATTTGAGAATGGTATGAGACCTGTAAGACAACTAGTTTTTTTTTTATAAGTCTAACTATAGCTACAAAATTTCAGTTATTTCTAAAAAATACATCTACAAAGCTTATATATCAAACCATTGTTATTTTTCCAAATAACTCTTGAATTAACAAATTTTATGAACTACCTGTAGAAAAGTAAAGTGATGTTAAGAATCCAAGTTTGACCACTCATGTCATTAGTTATTTGACTTTATTATTTTTCCTACTTATTTTTTTTAATAGTAGTTTATGCATACAGTAAACATTTTAAGGAGGAAAAATGGTTAGGAGAAAATTTCTTTTCCTCTTAAGCTTTCTAGTTTGTCTTTTCATAGGTGACTACCTTTATATATATTCCATGTCAAAATAATATAAAATCTTGTCATACTATGCAAAAATCCTTTTTTATTAACAATTATGTAGAAACATTTTATTTTTCCTAAGAGATGAATAGCTTTCCATTGGTGCATATTCTATAATTTAGCCAGTCATGCATTTTCTTAATCATTAAAAAAATTATAATTTATTTATGCATACAAGAACTGGAGAGTAATCCAGAGGCATGGTGGGGGGGGGGTGAGAGGATTCACCGGTGACAAATGGGGAGCTGAACAGGCAGATTTACTGAAATACACTGCTGGGGTGAGCAGCGGGCAAGAAGTCTGCTATGCTGCAGTGGCTGGCTATAGCTTGATAGTGCTGGGACTTAACCCCTGTGCCACAAGGGAGGCCCCCAGCTATACAGTAATGATCATTTTTTCTTCATCTGTTTAACTACAAAAAGATGATGCAGCAAATGTCCTTATACATTTGTATGTATATCCGTTCAGTAAGTTTGTAAAATAGAATCACAAGTGAAAAAGGGTCTGGTCAGGCCTCCCTGGTGGTGCAAGGGGTTATGTCTCAGCACTAGCAAGCTATCTGTAGCAACTGCAGCATGAGTTCAATTCCTGGCCAGGGAACTGACACACATGGTGCATCAGACCTCTCCCATCTCACCCACCACTCCCCTCAGCAGTGCATTTCAGTAGATCTGCCTGTTCTGCTCCCAACTCTGTCTCTGCTGAATCTTCTCATCCTTATCCCACTTCTGGCCTATACCCCAGCTCTCATATGCATAAATGAATCTTTTTTTTTAAAAAAAAGTTCTGATCATTAACAGGATGAAAAGATAAGTCCTATTTACAAAATAACTATGATAAAGAACTTGTATCCAAGATGCAAAAGACTTCTTAAAAATCAACAAGAAAATAGGAAGTTCAATGGAAAAAAAATGGACAAAAAAGCTGAACACGTTCCTTAGTACACATATACAGATGGCAAATAAGCATATGAAAAGATACTCAACATCTTATGTCAGCAGGGAAAAGCAAATTACAAGTCAATAGCACACCTATTAGAATGGCTAAAATCTAAAAGACCTGGTAACAGTGTCAAATTCATTGTCAGTCATGTGAAGCAACAGGAACTCTCATTAATGATAAGAATGTAAAATAAAATAGAAATTTGATAGATGATTTGATAATATCTTATCCAGTAATTGTGGTCCTAGGTATTTACCCAACATAAGTTGAAAAATTATGTCCACACAAGCACCTGCACACAAAAGTTTATTCCAGGTATGGTCATAATGGCCAACATTTGGAAGCAACCAAAATACCCCACAGTAGGTGAGTAGATAAACAAAGCATGGTGCATCAATGAAATGGGTATTACTCAATGATAAAGAGACATGAGAATCAAGTCATGAAAAGACATTGAGGAACTTTCAATGCACATTTTAAATGGACATTGCTAAGGGACATTGAAATGTCTACTATATGATTTCACATGTATGGCATTCTGGAAACAGTGAAAGTATAGAGACTGTAAAATGATCAGTGGTTGCCAGGAAGAGAGGGTGGAGGAGGAGGGGGTGGATTTTTAGAGCAGTCAATCTTTTCTGTGAAATACAGTAACAGTGGATGTAAAACATGTATTTGGCAAAACCTGTAGAACTGTGTAGCACAAAGAATGAATCCTAATGTAAACTATGGACTTTGGTTAATAATAATCCATCAATATTAATTCATCAGTGGTAAGAAATGCTCCACACTAATGCAAGATAATTAATAATTATAAAAAATGAGGGCAGGGAGAAATATAGTATATTGAAATTTTCTGTACTTTGTGTTTAAATTCTTGAAAACCTGAAACTGCTCCAAAAATTAATGTCTATTAAGTATTTTTTTAAGATTTCATCATGTAAGACAGTTTGTCATATCTATTTTCATTGTTAATTGTGTGTCCCTCTGAAAACTAGAGACAGATTTTTCTTTCTGAAAATTCCATATTTTCTTTTAATAACCTTATAGTTTCATTTTCTTTATTTAAAGGTCTTTGTTCAATCTGGATTTTATGTCATTGTTAGAATTGACCCTATTTATAACACCATCTTAAAAAGACAATAAAAGGCAAGTTATAGAGAAAGTATTTTAGACTAAATGTTATAACACTGAGTTTGAAACCTTCTTTATGTTATGATGTGTGCTGAGAAATAAAGCAGGATTCATAAGCTGCAGTCCATACACCCTTGGGGTTCATAAATGAACTTTACAAAGGGTTATAGGAATCCCTGATCGTGTGTGTGTGCATTAATATTGTGCATTTTGGAAGGAGTGTTCTGTCACTTTAATCAATTTCTCAGAAGTGTTCACAAATCCAAAATGATTAAGAGACACTTAAGTTAGTAAAAACTAATCCTCAGAAAGATAAATTCTGATAAGAATTTCCAAATGGATGTTTATATCACCTACCAAAATGAATATTTGCCTTTCAAGGTACTTTATGTATAAGAATGTTGAAATTAGCTTTAACATCAGCCCAAAATACTTTTTCTGTGAACTGTGTTACTTAGGAATCATTCATGACTAAGCTCATAGAACTACATTTAGAAAAATAATAAAAACATGCAACTTCTGAATGATTATATTTGTCAGAAAAGCCAGTACATTTTTGAAATTTACTTTGCTCAAGCCATGAGAAAAAGTTGTTTCTTATGGGTCTTAAAAGAAAATGCACATCATAGTATATAATTCATCATCATATATCAAATGTAAGTAAACAAAACAGCAAATTCATTTACATAAAATTAAACTATTGCTAATAGAACCCTAATAGAAAATTGCAAATATCTTTTTAGCACATTTGTTTATTAGGTCAATTTTTTTTTCCCATAGAAAAGAGTTGAAGAAATATTTTAATTTTAGAAGCTAGGAAATATTTCCTATATCACTGTTTCTGTTCTTCAAACCAGATATTAATATTCTTTTTTTTTTAAGATTTATTTATTTATGCATACAGAACTGGGTTACAAGCCAGAGGTGCAGGGGTGGCAAGAGACTCACCAGAGACAGAGTGGGGAGCAGAGCAGGCAGATCCACGAGGTGCACTGCTGAGGGGAGCAGTGGGTGGGTCAGAAGAGATCTGCCGCACCATGTGTGTCACCTCTAGGGCCGGGGATCAAACTCGCAGTGAGGCGGCTGCAGCCAGTTTGCAGTGCTGCATCTTAACCTGTTGCGCCACCTGTGACGGCCCTATTAATATTTTTATTAAGACTATTTCTTGATATATGCGTGTTTATCTGTATACATTTCGCTCTCCTTATTTCAAAAAAGAATAACTATGCTAAAGGACACCACCAATTTTTAAATGCAGTACCTTAGAATTTAACATTTTAAATGAACAAGGCAATTAATATTTACTTTCGATTCTTAACATAGTCTATATTAACATCAAAATGAACTATTGACAGAATTTTCTGTAGTTTACAGTTACAGATGCTTTATATTAAATATGAACATAAATAGCATACAAATTTCAATCAAGGTAAATGTATGGAAAAGGACTTGCTGTATTTTGACCATCTTTATTGTAGTGATAACAGAACCCTTCAACTTGTTGACTATTTTTTACATCTTGGTATGTGGTCTGGGTATTTGATATGAATAAGCCTTTTCAACATATTTTTTTCTACATAATTAAGTTTAACTTGAGTTTATTAACCACATATAATATGGTTTGTTATCTTAATATATGTTTGTTTTATTTTCTAATGTACAGAAATTTTGGAGACATCTAAAAGGGAAGTTGTAATGGAGAAACCTAGAGTAAATGAAACCAGTATTCCTTCAGAGCAATTAATACCATTAAACGAAATGAGCAAAACATCAGTGGTAATATTTTTATTCATATGTAATAGTGTCAACATATATCTGCGAATCCATTATGAGTTTTATCCTGTAGCACTGAAAAAATAATTCCTGGCTGAAAATTGACTTACATGTTTGTTTGTTTGTTTTTAAAGATTCACTTATTTATGCATACAGAAGAGGGTAGAAGCCAGAGGTGCAGGGGAGGTGAGAGGATTCACCAGAGACAGAGTGGGGAGCAGAACAGGCAGATTGTCGAAGTACACTGCTGAGGGGAGCAGCGGCCGGCCGGCCAAGAGAGGTCTGCTGCATCTTGTGGGTCACTTCCTGGGCAGGCGGGATCAAACTCAAGCAGCAGTGGCCTTAGCTGTGTGTTAACCTGCTGCGCCACCAGGGAGGGCCAGACTTATATGTTTTTAATAAAAATCCAGTCTAATGAGGACTCTGCTCTCTTGTAAAATTCATCCCATGAGAAGAGGAGGGAGCTGAGTGTTCCACATCAGGGTCTATCATTTCAAAATTTGAATCTCAGGTAATTGTAGAAATGTGAGAAAATGGAGGTTAAAAAGAAATGAGAAAGGAAAGAATGGTTTAAACGGCCAATTTTTGAGGGATGCCCAACACTGCCTGTTTTTAGATCTGTTACTAGAAAAGTGACTAATTCAAGCAGGGATTCTGTTCATAGGGTCTTCTGATTTGCAGTAGGTAGATTACCACTGTAAACCAGATACATTAAAATAGGCAGTTTAATCTGAATGTGTTTTTAGTACTTTAGAGAACATTAGAAGAATTGGGGAAATATACATTCATAAACATATTGCCAAATGTGTCCAAGACCAAAGCAAAAATAGAAAACAAACAACACAAACCTTCACCTCAACTTCTCCCACCTGCCTCTTGAGTACAGATCACAATTCTTCATTTCCTGGAACAAAAATAGTGCTGCTTTCTACTTGTGGGTAGAGAAACTAAATAAAATTCTAAGGAAGTAAAAATCTAGATAGAGGCAATAGTGTGTTTTCTCTGAGAATTTATTTCTTATTGCTATATTTTGGCTTGTCTGATATCTAAGCATGAAAAGAAATAAAAGATTGAATATTAAATGCTGTCTTATGTTGCAATACTTGTTAACAATAAACTATAAAAAGACTATAAAAATCTAATTTAGGTTTTATTAAATATATCAAATTTAAAGATTGCTTTAGATGATAAATAGTAAGTGTAACTTTCAGTTCTCATAAAGATGGTTTTATTGAACTATATTTAAGAGATTAAATTTCAAAAAAAATTTTGATTACACTCACTGATGAATTAAAATGAAATGTCAGTATATTACTGTGTGTAAAGGATGCACATGTTTTTGTATATTATTTTATTCAGTAGGTAATATTTTTCAGGTTATAAGAATGACTTTTACAGTTTATCAAAAATGCCTATATTAAACCTCCTGAATGAATGCAATCATTTTATATCTATAACAATAGAAACACTTGTTGCTAAGTTAAGATTAATGTTACTTCATATAAATTTCTTTTCAGGCTCCTTTACTACATTTTGGCTGGAGAACTGCATTTAAAGAAGTCTCTCTTCCCATGGCACATTGTATAATAACAACAATCGAAGATTTTTCCACAAAAGTTCTCCAACAAGAACAGAATGAAAGATCTTCAGCTGTGAGCTATGTTATAAAACTTGTAAATGTTCAGCATCTTTGGAAGGACGGCTGTGTGGTTCCTGAAGAGGATCAACCAAAGAAAATTGCAAAGGCAAGTATCAAATGAAATCCTTTCAAAGTGTAGACCTCCTAATGAGTGCCGTGTGTGTGTTTCACAAATATAAAGCATTTTAAACAGAAGCTATAGAAAAATGGTTCAGCCTCTTGGCAAAAACTGATATTTGACCGAGTACCAGTATTTTCTTCTGGTATCTATGGGCCATTGCTAGCAAAAACAGACTCCAACTTGTCACTAATTTGTTTCTCTTTGAGTGTGAAGCAACTAAAAAGGAAGCTTCTATGATTCATGAAAAGCTAGAGAAATTATTGTTTGCATTTGAATTATATGTCTGAATGCCTTTAGGAGAAATTGAAAGGCTGAAGGAGTTAATATCTCGTATTGGTCTAGGCCACTTTAAGGGGTGGAGGGAAGGAAGGCATAAACAACAGAAAGTAATTTTCTCACTTCTGGAGCTAGATGTCTAAGACAAGGTGTTGGCAGGGTTGACTTCTTCTAAGGTCTTCCTTGCAGATGGTCTTCTCTGTGTGTTTCACGTGGTCTTCCTTCTATTCAAGTGCACAGGCAAATCTAGACATATGGAATGTGGGTCTGTCACATTGTCTCACTCTTATCACCTCATTTTAATTGATTTAATAGGCCCTGTTTCCAAATACAGTCCCATAATGAGATGAACTGTATGAATTGGGGGTAGATGGAACACAAGTCAGTCCATAAAACATTCTGGACAAGTATCTGTTGTTTATCTAAAGTTCAAATTTACTGGGTATCTTTGTTTTATTAGGTAATCCTATGGAATCCTGAAATGGAAATCTAATATTTACATCTTCATTTACTGCTTAACAAAAATTTCATTTCATTAGTCTTACATCTCTACATTTGTGTTTTGAGAGTCACAGAACATTCTGAGAAAAGGATGTAATTATGGAGATATATACAGCTACTCAGTATTAAGTCTGCATTGAATTCAGGAGCCAATGACTGTACATAATTATGTTAACTCACTTGAAGGTGAGTTCTTCATTTTTCTGCTACTATCACTCTGAGGCTCCAAAACATCCCTCAGGAACATTGCTGAAATAGAATGGAAGCAAGTTCTGTCTTCGAATCTACCAAGACTCTCTTGCCATTAAGAAGTAGACACATAATAAATAGTGAAAAGTTAGGCACATGACTTCTGAAAGTAACTGACTCCTCACCAATTAAAAGATGCTGCATGAGATTGTTTCTAGTATTTCTAGGTTACTTCTATTAAGTTGATATAGCCTTATTTCTATGGGGTGATTTATAAAAAAAAAATGACATGAAAACTTAGCCCCCCCAAAATGGAATACAATTTTATTAATGTCAAGGAAACATATTTTCTGAGTTCTGTTAACTACAGATAGGAGTATTGTCATGTAGAATTGCTTCTTGAGTGTTTCATAATGTGTCCGGTAAGCCTGAAGCCTTAAAGTTATATAGAGCGAAGCATCATTTGGTGTTTCCTTATTTGACATAAAACATTGAACTCACTACAACTGAGAAATCGATTATTACAAAGTTGCATCATTGTATTTATGTCAGATGCCAAATTTATCATTTAGGAATTTGGCTCCGCTGTACATAAATTACACGGTGCTGTCAGAGTACAAATAACTCCGTGCTACATTTATTTCTCCTTAGTTTTGTTCTGACATCTTGGAAAAACTTGACACAATGCTTCCACTGGCTCTGGCATGCAGAGATGATTCTTTTCAGGAAATTAGAGCAAACTTTGTGGAGGCCTGTTGTAAAGTCGCAACAGCTGTCTTGGTAAGACTGCAGGAGAGAGGGAAAGAATTTCCTTCCAGAGCATCCCTGACAAACGTGCACAGCCTGCTTGCCACTGCAATGTATGTCTTCCAGCATTTCACTCAATATGATAATTTGATGAAAGAAACTACTAAGAAGTAAGTGCCATTTAAATAAGGTGCTGGTCCTATTTAAAGTAACATGCAATCTTTGGCTATCCCAGGAGTGAAATATTAATGGTAATATTTGAGGGGGAATTAATAATTAACTAAGCGAATAATTTTCATTTGTCTTGACTAAGTAATGTAAAGGGGAGTAGCATAGGATATAAAGCCAGTTGGATTGTAAGACAGGTATTTTCTTTAAAGACACAATTCAAAGACTCGTTCATTTCTATATTTTAATCTTTAGCAACAATTTTGTGCATGTAGTTATGACATGACCATTCCATTTTGGAAGGCACATTGGACCAACCATAAATAAGTTTGTTTTAGTCCTTCATATACATGGTGATGAAATATGTACTTTCTGCTTCTGTTTCCAATAGGCTATTAGGAGCTGACATGGAGAAGAAATACATTTCAGTCTATTTTTTTTAAAGATTTATTTATTGATGCATACAGAACTGGGGTACAAGCCAGAGGTGCAGGGGCTGTGAGAGGATTCACCAGAGACAGAGTGGGAAGCAGAACAGGCCCACTGAGAAGTACACTGCTGAGGGGAGCAGCTGGCAGGTCAGGAGAGGTTTGCCACACCATATGCATCAATCTCTGGGGCCAGGGATCGAATTCGCATTGAAGCCGCTGTGGCTAGCTTGCAGTGTTGCATCCTTACCCATTACACCACCAGGGAAGGCCTTCAGTCTATTCTAATTATCACCAATGTAAACATATTTCAGAGCACCCATTTAGTAATAAACTTCATAATATATGAAGAGGAAACATTTGACAGTCTTTATTCTCATGTATTAGTAACCTAAAAGACTGTGTCTTCTAAATAGAGCTTAAAAATGATTACTGATCGGCCCTCCCTGGTGGCGCAGCGGGCTAAAGCACTGCACTAAGAAGCTTAAGCCAACTTCTCATGAGTTCGATCCCCACCTGCCCTGGAGGAGATCCACATGGTGTGGCAGACCTCTCCTGACCCACCCGCTGCTCCCCTCAGCAGTGTACTTCGTTGATCTGCCTGTTCTGCTCCCCACTCTGTCTCTGGTGAATCCTCTCACCCTCCGCATCTCTGGCCTGTACCCCAGTTCTGTATGGATAAATAAATATTTTTAAAAAATGATTACTGATCTTTTCACATAATATCCTTTAGAAAATAGTATAGCTCCTCTCAGAGGGAATATGTGGACTTAACAATCCAGTGTGAGTCTAGGAATCTATTATGTATTCCTAATTCAGCCTTTGCTATCTCTTCATTATGAGAGAAAACCTAAGAAAGTGGAATGTCAATAGCTGAAGATTAAAGTAAAATAAATTTGGCTGATGTAAGCTAGTACTACATTTCTTTAATTCTTGAAGGCAGTCAGATGTTGTGATTCATACTTGAATTTATAAACAAATGTGCCAGAGATCACTTTAGTCTCTGCAGAATATTTTAAAACAGTTTATGAGATAATTGACATCTACAAAATTATAATTTTAGAAATAAAAAGAATGTCTTTGTGGGACATGTGATAGCTTTATAAAAGTTGGTTCTGACAAGTGCTTGTTGTTCTCTGTAATAATGATAACCTAATGCCTAAATAATGCACTGATCTCTAATAACAGGTTTACAAAGAATACTTTTATTTTGAATGATGTATTGACAATGCAGTTTGTCTCAAGTTGAAGTGCATATTTGTGGAACAGCAGATGTATGTTTTCAAAGGACTTGCCAAACAAAGACCAGCTTTTTTTTTTTTTTTTTTTTCATTTTGGAAAGTGAATGTGGATGCAGACTTCAGCATTGAGAGGAAATGAATGATTGATATCTAATAATCAGAACCATTTGTAGTACTGGAGATTGTTACCGCCTACTGCACAGACCTTAAATCTCTGTCTCTTTGATCATTCCCTCCAAACAGACCCATATTCCTGGTGCCTGTCCAACAGTATCAGGAATTCATCAACACTCTACAGTTTCAGGTTACGGACTACTGCGTCAGAGTTTGTGCTACAAGCATTTTACAGGATGCTGAGAGCCACCACTGGGATGACTACAAAGCTTTTTATGAGGTGTGAAGTTAAGTTTACTATCCCTCCTTTTTACACAAATATGTTTTACTGCCTACCTGCTTTCTGGCTAATTAGAAACATGAGCTTGGCATTACTAACACACGGAGGCTGTTAGTATAATATTTTTTAAATATTGAGCTTATACTTAGGAAAAACACTGTTTTTAAAATCTGAAAAAAAAATTAGACATCAGAGCTCTCCTTCTGCTTAAAAGTAAAAATAACTTAATTTGAGCTGCAATGTTACAGTACCATATAATAAGCTGGAATATAATAAGATACAATGAGAACTCAAAGAATGAGCAATGCCAAAATGCTGCAAACTTATAATTTTTTTTTTACAAAGAGACTAGTTATAGGTATTCTTGTTTTTTTTTCTTATTATATATTTCCATCTCTGTTTGATATTTTTATTAAGCCTCTATTTTTTGTTTATTTTCCTTCTCATTGCATGTTCCTATGAGTGCACTTTCAGACCCATCTGATCATTTATAGCCTACCTATTTTCATTTAGCCCATGTTCTGAAATCCCAAATTTCTTCTGAATTAAAACTTAAAGATTCTAAGTGCAACCAAATCCAGATCAATGAAAATTATTCATCAGCAGACTTCATTAATTTCCTTTGTCCTAAATCCTATTGATTATACATAATCCACAATATTTGAAATTCTTTGAAGTTGATTCCAGAGTAGGTTGAAACATTAATAATATTTTAATCAAAGATAATCAGGTTTTTTAAAGAATCATCAGTCAATCTAGATTCACTAGTTTTTTCCAATTGCCCTTCCCTCCAAGTTGAAGTATCTGACTTGACTTTCCTAATTATCACGAAATTTTAGAATAACAGTGAAGTTTTATTCAGTGAAGTCATTCTTTCACCTGCCTGACACTGAGCTTTCCTATGGCTTCATTTATGCCTGAGTTATCATCATAATATATGTTGCCACAACAGAGAGGAGCAGATAATAAGAAACTCTTGTAAAGGACTTATCACTTTTTCTAAGGCCATTTCATTTCTCCTTTAGAGGCCCTTTCCAGATAGTTTTTCTTTTTGCAAGAGTGTCCATTTAGGGTTTTCCAAACCTGAAATACTTCAAACAGCAGCAAGCGGACTGGGGAGAAAATGGCACTACAGTGCTGCTGGTGGCCTGAGATAAGAGTGAGAGTATTGGCCTCCCCTCTTCTGGCAACATCACAGTTTGTTATTTGCCTTGAGGTAAACAGAGAAGTTGAAAATGAATCCATCTCATGTTTCAAACTATTTCAATGTGTCACGATACTAATGAGCAATTTTACATGATGTTTTCATTAAAAAACAGGTATCATCTCACTATATGTCTAACATAGGGGTATTATGTTTTCTCCTATGCAAAATGGGAGATAGGAGAGTGGTACAGTATAAGTAATAAGAGGATGCATTTAGAACCTGTATTGAAGTTACTGAGTACTTAAAAAAATAAAACAACAAATTGCCATGTAATACACAGTTCTTAGATCTTATGACAAGGCTGTAGCTTCAAAGACAGAAATAACAATACCGTTACCCTGTGATTATATGGGTGTTGTAGCTTCCATATACTTACATGGTCAGTAGTTACAATTTAATTACAGAGTTAGTGGCTGTTATTTATGCTCAGAAAAATAAAGTGATACTGTGTTTATACCTACCAAAAATAAGAATTTTCTAAAAATAGCACATATTTTAAACTGTTTTGACAACTGGAGAACCTGACCTGGTTTATCTCGTTTACCACACCCCTTTCACTGCCTCTCCCTATTGTTGCAAACAGGACTAGCATGTTTGTGTAAAGGCTGTTTGGGGGGGAAAGGAGATGAAATATACCCACTTGGAGGCTAAGGCAGAACAGATCTATCAGGGAGCCTATCACCGTAGACAAAGTGTAGTAAAGAAATAGTGAAAGCTATTACATGATGTGGAGCAACACTCGCTCATGTTTTGTGATATCAAGTGAGTCCCAGATACATCATTTCCATTTTGTAAGCTCTCAGGCTGACAGAGTCAAAGTTTGCTGTCTCTCCTGAAGGAGTGCTGCTCAGATGGCACAATAGGCGCTCAGGTTACCACTTAAAATTAAGTATTGGGTCTAATTGGTGTCTACTCAATGTGAGCAACTTATGTTTTCCAGTAGTCAAAGAATAAAGAATTGTCTGTTCAAAGATAACATTGTGTGTTTATGCTATTAAACCCAGCTGCTTGTTTCTGGATACATAATCTGACCATAAATAAAAGCTCACAGTTGTTTACATTATAGTGAGTCTACAAAAAAAATAACACGTTTACTAGCAGAATATTTTTGAAATGTCAACAAATAGTTCAGGAAATTAAATTAATCACATTTGGTTTAATAAAAACCCTTGAAACCAATGACTATATACATTTTGAAGAAAATTATAAGAACAATGAAAAGTTTGGAATGTTTTTAAGTAAACTAGAGAGTTAATAATTTAGCAAGTCTTAAAAAAAAGTATTTTTGTCTTTTAAAAGTTTGTGTACCTAAAATGATCGTTGTTTTCTCATTGAATTGCTAAATGTTAACAAAGAAGTTGTTTTCTATACATTTTAAAAATAAGAGAGGGGCTTCCCTGGTAGCCTAGGGATGAAATCTCAGCGCTACCATGTTATAATGGCTATATCCTCAGTTCGATCCCCACATCCCTCGCCAGGGAGCTGACCAACACTGCACAGCAGACCTCCCCTGTCTCACCCTCTGCTCCCCTCAGCAGTGTATTTCAGTAGATCTGCCTGTTTAGATCTGCCTGTTCTGCTCCCCACTCTGTGTCTGGCGAATCCTCTCACCCGCTCCCCACCTGCCTCCACCCTAGTTCTATGCATAAATAAATGGGTAAATCTTTAAAATCAATAAATAAAAATATGAGGCATCATATTGACCTGTCTATTATAAGCATCCATGTATTGCCATGCAGAAAGTTAGTGTTAGTCATTCCAATTAGCCTTATATGAGTTGGGTCAATTTTGCTTTCATTAACATATACCACAGGAAGTTGAGAAACTAAAACTTTAAACTCCCTTTTTTATTTAGGAATTTTTAAAAAGCATTTTTAATTATAGAAAACAAATAAATATAAGGAAGTATAATTTTGCTACTTTTGCATAACTTTTGTAATTTTTAAAAATCAGTTTTGACAAACTTGTAGTCAGGAAGTTATAAGCCAATAGTTTGAAGTTCCCTCCAGCTTGATATTTTGATGCCCACATTCCCCACATGAGAATAACAATTCTACTCACTTATAAATGCTGTTTGAAAGTCAATAGATAATAATTAGAATTTATTATTATAGTGACTACAAAAGATTTAGTAATCAAGCAAATTACCAAAAGAATAATATCTAAGGAAAATACTCTTGGGAGTGCCTGCATAAAAAATGGTGAACTTTGGTATAAAAGAACTGATCTTTTTTACATTTGCTGGGAAAATATAAGTAGTGAGCAATTGGCTTTAAGTCCAAGAGGGCTACTTAGAGATAAAATGGGAACTTTTACTAGTTTGTTTTGATATGGTAATATAATCAGGATAATGCTTGAGGAATACATTTTACTCTATTTAAAATAAACTTTTGATCTGATTTGAAGAAAATGAAGCCAAAATGAACATCCCTCCCTGAGAGCTTGTTAACTAATTAATGCTTATAAATCACTTGAGTCTTTCTCTCATTTCTGCCTGTTCCCCTTGCCCTTGGTGGCTGATGGGGCTCCCCCTGTGGTCTTGGGGAAAATGTGGCACACAAAAGAGAATGAGAAAGGAATGAGAATCTGGCCCCTGTGGAAGTAAGAAAAACTGTAAAAATACTAAGAAGTGATAACATCTGCCTAAGCTTTACAAAAGCTGGTAAAATTGGACTATTGTAGTATCTGTTTCTCTTGTTATTAAAACATTCTTGATAAAATAATATAATGATTTATTACTAATATAATAATTTTCAATGGTTATGCATCCCCCCCGACACCATGCATGTTGATAAGCTTACAGTATGTAATTTTTGCTTCTGTCATTTCATTATAACATGAAATCTGAAAGATTTATAAAATAATCTTAATAATGTTTGTAGTTTAAAAAATACATACAGACTTTATTTAAATCATTAAAACTTAATTTTAGACAAATCAATCAGCCCACAATCTATAGCTAACATGACTTATTTAACAACTAGAGAGCCAAGTGTTTGCTTTTTAAATTCTCGGCCAGAAGTAGGTAAATCCAGGATTCTTCTAGGTTAAAAGCTTGTGGTCTGGATTTGCACAAGAAGATCTAGTCTCATAATTGAAATGAAACATATGTTCCTTTGTCAATAAGGATGTTTTACATCTTGTCAAAAGGCTTTCTTGGTCATCTAGTGTGTCAAACTCTCCAGCTATTTCCTTTCAGCCTAAACTAATTAGGTTCATAGGAAGTAAACTGACATTCTGGAAGATGTGATTCTATTGTTTAATGTGTGGTGGTTTTGCCAGGGGGAACGATGCTCCTTCTCTCTCCAGATGTGGCATTATTTCTTGTGGGCTCTTCATCATGATCTCTGGACTATTTTGCCCCCTAAGTTAGCCCAAGATATTGTAGCAGAAGTGTTGGAGAAATCTTTGGGTCTCCTGGACTCCAGATATGCTCGGGCCCATCCAAGTTATAAGAGAACACCACAGATAAGGTAATTGAAGTTGCTTTTCAAGAAAACCTTTTCATTAGTTGGTATAAAGGAGAATGCAACTCTGAATCTTGTGACATAAATGCTTGTATATTTAACATGTTTCTAACACCTGAAAGACAATCATATTCACTTCTCCTGACACAGTTAAATGGAAATGTAGAAGTTGAATCAATATAACCTTGCTCTTATTTTTTTCAAATTGTTTATGAGCCCATTTGATTCTCAAAAAGGATTCAAGATGTATTGAAATCTAAATAATATATATGTATGTGTGATATATATGTATACATGTGTGTGCTATATATATGTTAATTAATAAGATACAGAAGAAAATAAAGGTCTCCAATAGAGAAAAAGGCAGCAGTGCTGTGATTGAGTAGTCAACTTGACACTGAGCTTCTAGACAACTGGGAAATTTTAGTTTCATTTTAAGCTTTTAATAGTATAGTTAATCTTTAGTACAGAATTCCTTTGTCTAATTATTTTTGTTCTTCATATCATATAATTATTTTCTTTCCTCTTTTTATTTTCCCCCTTCGTTATGTATACAAAAAACCAGTTCAGCAAAATGTGAAATCACAGATGAAGAGCAGCAATCACTGAAAATAAAAGACTGAGTTATAGTCCAACTCTATTAGAGTTATCAAGGCAACAAATATTACAAAATGTGTTTACATGGAAACACTGGTGCCTATGAAGAGAAGGGTTTTGTTTTATAAATATTCTGCCTAATGTGATTAAAATCTGTCCTCAGTATAAAATTTATTTTTTCATATGTATTTTGGGAAGAAAGGAAATGGCAGTCTTTTATTTTTTTCCCCTCAGTAGTGGGAATCATTTCCTGATCATGTTTTTGTAAAACATGCTGTATTTGAAGGGCATTTAGGTCCTGCTACAGTGTTTCATAAATATGGTATTTTGTACAGGCTGTTTTGAATTACTGACCAAGCATTTTTTTCCTTCAAAAATGAAGAATAGATGGAAAACTGCTTTTGAGAGCAAAGATACTGTCATTCTTTGTCTAATGTAGTATAAGTCACTTTTTACTATGAGGTGGCAGTTCGTTTTGAAATTGGATTCACTATTAGTTCATGAAATAGATAGTATTGTTAGCTAATTAACTTACTATAGAGACTTCTGGTTTTTATTTTCTGGGTGGTTACATAAGAATGCCCTGCGATGCTAGTTATTTTTTCCTAGTTTTTATAAATAAAGTAAATGAATATTTTTTGGAATCATTAATCCGAAACCACCATTATTGTGGAAAAGAAATGAGACGTGTGTAGATGTTTGTGTGTGGATTTATATCTTTAATTTGTAATTGTTTAATTAGCAATTAGAGTAAATGGATGCAAGGTACAATTAAACTTTCCTAAAGACTATTATTGATATTTTTAGTATTTTAGTAGCCTCCTACTATCATATAACAAATACACACACAATTTGCTAATATATGGATAAATGTATTATATATATTTATATATATACATATATATATCTGAATCTAAAATATTATTTTAAAATGTTCTTAAATTTGTGTTCACATCACTTCAAAATATAGATCTTCTATTTTTTCAACACTGAATTTAGAGGGGAAAAAAGTAAAGAGGAAATAAACTCAGGTCTGAAAATTTCATCATGTCAAAACAGTCTTAAAAAGATTCAGGATCCCTATTATTGCAAGAAAGACTCAAAGAAGTGGATTTAAAAATCAGACAAATAATGCAGCAATGATGCCACACATTTATTTACTATTAGAAATTTCTGAAACTCTACATGTCTCCATTTGTACTTCTGGTGTCCTTTTCCCCCTCCCATTTGCTGGGGGGACATGTTCCTGACCTTATATCTTTCCTTTCACAGCTTGTACTTGGATAAGAATTGTTCTACTATAAATATTAACCTATCAAGTACATGTAGATAATAGCAGCTTTTTTTCACTCTGTTGCTGAATGTAATTTCAAGGAAAGTCTCTTGAGCTTCTTGACTTGTATATTAGTAATCAAAACATTATAATAATAAAAAAATAAACATTTTTAAAGCACTCTTAAATATTTTGCTGTTAAAGATCTTATCAGTTCTAAAGGTAATCGTGTGCTAGCTCATCTACACCTGGAGACTCAAAGCTCCCTTTGATGTTTTCTGGTTCTCTTAATCTGTTAGCCAACCAAATATTGCTAGCCTTTTAAGTGCACAATATAAAAGATATGATTACTAGTGTACATACCAAGCAAAAAAACAATTTTGTTTAACATGATTTTCTTTTTCTTTCCAATAGACTTGATATCACAACAATTCTAATATGCACCGAGAACATGTTATGGTCAATATGTACATCTGTACAGAAGCTTCTAAATCCTCATGAGTATATAGATGATAAAATTTTTAAAATTCACACCCATTGTAATAATCTGTTTACAACATTAGTCATTTTGACTTCACCGTTAACTGAATTATACCAGTAAGTATCAATTCGTATTTACCTATTATATGTGAAATAATGTGATTTATTTCCTTACTGCCTATTAAATATATGAAATAGCAAGCACAAATTTTTTTTTAAAGATTTATTTATTTGTGCATACAGACCTGGGGTACAGGCCAGAGACAGAGTGGGGAGCAGAACAGGCAGATCTACGAAGTACACTATCGAGGGGAGCAGCGGGCAGGTCAGGAGAGGTCTGAAACGCCATGTGGTCACCTCCGGGGCAGGCGGGAATCGAACTCATGCGGAAGTGGCTTTAGCTTCTTAGTGCAGTGCTTTAACCCGGAGGGCCAGCAAGCACAAATTTTTTGAAGTGCATATTTGGTATTGTGAGTTGTCTCATTTTACAAAACTAATACTAACCAACAGGGTTTTCTTCAGTCTCAAAGAATTTAGTCCTCATACTGTATCACATTTCTACTGGTCAGTCTTACTCAGTTGCTCCCCCAAAACTAGGTGATTTTGAATTTCACTATTTGAGTTGTTTAAATGATTAAATTATATTAGTAGGTTGCTTGTTTCCATTATAGTTTGACAATCTATAAAAAAAAATCTTAATAGCTTTTTCTCTTTTTCAAATATCATTTTAGTTTTAAATTTTATATAGTGATTTGCTTGAATCAAATATTAACTAAATTTTTTCTAAAATATGCCCCAAATCTGGAAGAGCTGTAGTGGTTCCACATTGTCAACTAATCTGTCATAGATTTTCATTTTTACTATTAGGCTTTAGTGTTTGAAGCAGCATGACAAGGAAATAGAATAAGCAATTAAATTTTGAGAATGTTAAAATAGTTAATATGTAAATAAGATTTTAAAAATTTAAAGTTCAGAACTTTTTTCTGGATTATTTGATTCAAATTTTCAGTATTATATAAGACTTGTTGTAGATCCTAAAACATTAATACAATTTTGCTTAAACCCTCTCCAAAATAATCACTTTATCTTAAAAGACTAGATAATTGAATATTCTTAGTTTCTTTAGTGAAAATTATACATATTTCTACTTCTTATTATTTATTAGGTAAAGTATTCCATTCTTTAACATTCTGATAAGGGCAATATATAAATCTTGACTTTTAGCAAATTTTGAGACTTTTGTGTTAGAAATTCCAAGAGTAATGAACAACTTTGATTTTAATTCCCCTATAATTTGCACCCACTCTTTGACTTTCAAGAACACACCCATTGTTTCCAGATTGTTTCTTCTGGCAACCCTACTTAAGAACTAATTTTAGAAATGAAGAATTCTTAAGAAGGAGAAGAAATAGTGACATAATTTGCCATAAGTTTGGGATTATATGCACAATGATTCATAATCATGAAAAGCTCAAGGTCTAAAGTCCATAATAAATCCTAGTAAACTAAACTGATTTACCATAGATGAAAAAAACTGCTATGCTTTTAGTTCAATGGGTCATTTCATCTAAGAAGAAGGCCCTGTGAAAATCAGGAACAAAGTTGACAAATTTCATGGATTGGTCATGGTAAGCAATATTGGATTTCATGGTTTGTCACAGATGAATAGAAAATTTTTAATGTCCCAATGCATTTGTAAAACAAATAAATTATTATCAAAGATTGCATATTTTAATAATAATAATGTAACATACATCCATTATTATTAACCTATGACCCTTTGATACATTTTGAACAACTATATAAGAACTCAAACCTTTGTGATTTGTGCACTGTAACCTCATTCAACACATTTAAATTGCTAATTTCAGGATTACAGAAAATTTTACACCAAGCTCTGCCTCTGGTTTTACTTAATATAAAACATAGATAGCTATATTGCTAAATCTAAATGTATTTTATCATAAACTTTGCAAAAATTTTTATTAACAGATATTATGAAAAATTCCTCAATTCATAAGTGTTCAAGAACTTTATTCTTTCATATTGATTTAAATTTTATGACTTTTTAGAATATAAATCCAATCTTCGAAAATTTTGTTTTGCTTTATTTTGGGCTAAATTCCCTTGTATTGATGAAGGAAATCTACCTGTCAGTGTGTTTCTCCCAAACTAGGAGAAAGTGTGTTGGCTTATTTAGCTTTTATATTCTCAGTCATGATAGTTAGTTTCTTTTCACAGTCAGTTGTCAAATTATTAGTATTTTAGGGAAAAAAATGTATCTCTATCCTACTTTAAAGAAACTAAACTCTATGCTTTGAGGAATTGGTGAAAAGTAACAATCAAATGTTGATAGTACTGATTTTCTTACATACTATACCTGACATTTGTCACTGTAATGTGAAAAGCCTTTTTACAAGATGACTGCCTTTATTCCAAGCACTTCTGACAGATAAACTCTTTTCCTTTCAGAGCTTAACATAGGGCTACTAAATCCCATTGCTAGAATATATGATTTTAAAATATTTTCAGGAAGAATGAAACCTTTTTGCAAAGTGTGTTCTTTCTAAACTCTTCCTTCTAGAGTTTTGCTAGAATGTTGTAAAAGCAATACTTTAAGTTTGTCCTCCAGGGAAAGAAACTGCTGACATAAAATATTTACTATGTATTTTCCAATATGCTTATTGCTTGTAATTCTTTTGTAAATGCAGTTAAGCTGCATAATTCAGAAGCACACTCAACACACTTACAGACCAAACAATGATTTCATATGTTGTACTTTGTTTAAATCGAGTGTTGGTTTTAGTTTGTACATAGCAAATTAAAGATTAACTTTTAGACTTTAAGGAACTACAGTTTATTTCAGTTCAACAAGTATAGTTGCCTACCCTATCTTTGTGATTAATCACAGGGGATACAGTAGTGTGTAAGATGAAGTATCTGCCCTGAAATAACTTAGTAAAGCCTGATAAAAATATTCTTATACATCATAAAAAATCCCTAAAACTGCAAACTTTTTAAAAGGTGATGGTTACTAATGTTAATGCATTTTATTATAAGTGCTTAGGGTCATCAGAAGTAGGCCAAATATTGATGACTAAGCCAAAGAATTGTGACTTATGTTGAAGTTCACTTGGTGTCCCTCATATGGGTTTTGAAACACGAAACACAAATTTCCAAGGGGTTTCTATGCTATATCTGTAGTTAAGTTTCAAACTAATGTTTAGTCCTTAAGGTTGTAGACTTTTTTTTTTTAACTATTTCACTGTCCCTAATAAAAAGAACCTATAGATTAATGCTTTATTTTTCATACCTCAAGAATGTTTGGCACACTTTTGAATACAGTACCTTGAAATGTTAAGCATGGAATAAACTTATATGTAAAATACTGACTATCTAATAAAATGATTCTACAATTTTGTTCTTAAGTACATATACCCCAAATAAATGAAAACATATTTGTGTACAAAAGATTTGTACACAAATGTCCATAGCAACAATTTTCATAATAGCACAAATGTGGAAAGAACTCAAATGTCCATAAGCTGATGACTGGATGAATGGAAACAAAATGTGGCATAGACCATCAGTGAAATCTTACTCTGCAGTAAAAGGAATAGAATACTGATAGATGCTACAACAAGGATCAACTGCAAACCATTATGCTAGTGAAAAAAGCCAAACATAAGAGAACACATACTACATAATTCCATTTATGAGCAATACCCAGAATAGAAAATCCATAGAGAAAGTGGGTTAGTTGGTGTGAAGCACTGAGAGGAGGGAAGAATGTGTTGTACCTGCTTATGAGTAAGGTTTTCTTTTGAGGCTTAAAATATTCTCTTCAACTAGATAGTGATGTAAGTGATACAATTTTGTGAACATAATAGAAATTGTTAGTGGCACACACAAAATAGGTAAATTTGTGATATGCGAATAGCATGTATTTCAGTAAAATTGTTAAAAATTAAATACAGATTGCATGGAAATAAAAATATTTAAAATGTAAAGCAACAAAGTATCTGGCAGAACACAAAGTAATCTGGGAAGTGTAGTTCTTTTCCTAACCATTTTTAAAATATGAAATGTCTATCTTGTTCCTTTCCCTCTAAGCACAAATATATAAAGGAGAAATCTCGACTTAAGCAAACAAACCCCCAAAAAGCAAAATCAAATACCTTTATATGTATTCCTAGCAAGTTAAAACATTGATACAAAACTAGTCATTAACTTTACAGAAATTCCATGCTGTGATCTGCTCTTTATGCTTAGACTGAGCCTTGTTCTGTCTCTCCACCATCTCTCCTGTTCTCCATCTGTCCCTTGGCTATGTGCCAACCAAGATTGTTCTTCCCAGACGACCCCAAATTCATCCTCCTTTTCACTATGCAGAAATTTTCTCCAGCCTGCCCCCACCATGTATTTACTATATACCTACTGTGGGCCAAATATCTTGTCAGTCATCTTCCAATGTCATCATTTTCTAACTTCAAAGAGTTATTTACATCATGGGAAACACATGCAGAGGCCAGGAGACATGTGGGGAACTGACATCACTCTACTTGTCTTACTTGTATTTCTCTCATTCAGTGACATGTAGGTGACTAGTTGCCATAAAGATAACACTGGTTTATTGAATACAAAATAGTGATTTAAAATAATGTTTAAAATGGTAAGTAGATTGAATTATCTCTATACATTTATATTTAGATATCTGTGATTTTAGCACCATCAGAATGGTTCACACCCTCTTGATTGCCTTGAGTTGTTCTGTTGTTCACTCAACAGTTGGATTTCAAGCTAATTGTTTCTTCCGAAATAGTCTTCTCTTCCAATGGCTCAGGCATATGGAGGTCATCTGACCTGACCCTTGTCAGATCCCTGTGGAATTTACATCCTTGGGCTGCCCCCTTCCATTATAAATATTTATTCCATGAACATCTTACAATGAGACCAGGCCAAAACAGGTTGGGACAAAGACTGACTAGATCCTAGCTGACTTTTTTTGACTCTAAACTTACTAGTTCTCATTTCTTATGTACAATTGGATTCATTTCCTTCTAGCAGTTGGTGATATAAGCCCCAGCAGTCAATCTATTTTATTAATGAAAAAAAGGAGGGCTCTGTAACTGTGGATCAGATAAAGGAGACTGAATTTGGGTAAAATGTCAAAATAGGATGGTGTGATAAGCCCAGAGACAGTGCAATGTTAGAGGAAAGGGACATGGGCTAGATAATGTTGGGGAAAAGGCAAAAGTGAGAAATTTCCCCAACTTCATTTTTCCTTTTAAGCAAAGGCATTTTTATAGTCTGATAATTTGGGAATATGAAGAAGTGTATCCAGCTTCAAATTATTAACAACTACTTATTTTAAAATGAGTATTTAAATTTGCTATGTCAAAATTCTTCTTATGTCTATGGAAAAATATAACTCTGTGGCTAGTACAATGCATTTCACTCCCCACTATGAATTATTTAGAGCATCCTTTCTTTTAGCTGTAAACATCATTAGAGCTTATCTAATAGCTAGCTCATCATTTCATTCCCCTATTGAGGCTTGTGGGCCAATTTTCGCCCTGTTATACTCTCCAGAATAATGAAACTAATTTGGGATCTTGCTGTGGAATTAAATGCTCATACAGATCCCACCCCCTCTGAGACCATAAACATCTGCCATAACATTTCTTATAGCCAAATAACCTTACTACTACCAGTACAACTGAGAAACCGCCAGTGGAGTAAAGAGTTGAGGTACTGGCAGAATTCTCTGGGAAGTATTGTGTTGCTGGTGGTACATAGTCAGAGAACTACATAGCACTTCAAAAGCCATTCCATTGTTATTAGACCCTACATCCCCTCCACCCATAATTTTAAGGCTAAAAAGTAAGTAGGCAACCATTTAGATTCCTTGTCAGTTTTGAGATAGTTGAAGAATTTCTTAAGAAGCAATTGCCTCTATTATAATGCTGATAGCTTACATATTTCAGGCCCTTACATGCAAGGCAGTTTGCTAAATTCTTTATAGGCATTGTCTCAATCATTATATTGACCCTTTGAAGTCAGTATCTTCCCCACTTTACAAATGAGAAAACTGAAACTAAATACCTTACCACACACTGTACGTCTCATGAAAACCATACCCAAAAAGCAAACTCAGACTCTCTGATTTCTAGAACTCTTTTACATGCTCGTGCACTGTCTCTATATGATGCCTATGGCCTTAACTTTGGGGTATGGAGCATACAACAAAAAGCAAATGAAGGGGCCCTCCTTGGTGGCGCAGTGGGTTGACGCACAGCACTAAGAAGCTAAAGCCAATTCCAAATGAGTTCGATCCCTGCCCCGGAGGTGATCCACATAGCAAGGCAGAAGTTTCCTGGCCCGCCCGCTGTTCCCCTCAGCAGTGTACTTCATCAGTTGGCCTGTTCTGCTCCCTACTCTCTCTCTGCTGGATCCTCTCACCATATTTCCACCTCTGGCCTGTATCCCGGCTCTGTATGCATTAATAAATATCTTTAAAAAAAAAAAAAGCAAATGAAAATGTACAGGATTAAAGTAAATTTAAGTGCTAATAAACAAAGCAAAATAAGGACATAGACCAGGATGAGGTGACAAGAAAGAATATGTTTTAGTCAACACAGTCAGAGAAGACTATTAGAGAAGCATTTGAGGTCGAACAATGTATGGGTTGAACATGAGAGCTTAAAATGACAGAATATTTGACTCCAGAAAAAAAAATAAAGTAGCTGCCAGATAACTGGACAAATGGGGATTTATGCCAAAGGACTGAGAAAGGCATGTGGAGAATTAAGTAGGGCTATGATACCACTGCCTACCATCTCTTGCTCTCATATCAAAGCCCCATCTCTTATCTGCTTCCAACCTGGACTGTCACTTCTTTGAGACTGTCCTTATTTGCAACCTCTTTGCTGCAAAGCTGTCACATTACATCAACACCCTTTCTCTTTCTGATTCCCCTGCTATTGCATTTTTCTACAGCTACCCTCATTTTTTGCCCCCTCTATCCAGACTCTGGAACACTTTGGGGAAAAAAAAAGTCATTCTGCTGGCCATTTGAAACTTCTGATAACTCCATATTGCCCAATTTCCAGGAAGCTTCCTCTTTCATCCTCCTTCACTCTGACCAAACCCTCAAACAACTATTTGTTAGCAAATGACCTTTGATATTTCTCTGAGAAAACTAGACCATCATGATTGCATTTAATTTCTCATGTCCATGCTTAATAGTTATCTTGCTCACTACTCACTTCTACAACCTTTGGTTGGCAATCAGTATGTCTCTTTTCTCAACCAGAGCAAGTTTTTTCAAGAACTTGATTCTTGATCACACTTACCTTTTACCCCATGACTTTTGTCCTTTAAGTATTCTTTCTCTCTTCTAATTCTTTACCCATTCATCTCCTATATTCAAAAATGTCTTATTATTGTGTTTTCCTCTTAATATATAGTTTGTGTTCATGGCCTCCATTTGATACCAAAAGTTCACTCAATGCACTGCAGCTGCCCTTGTCATGCTAACCAAAAAACATGGGCAAGTCTGCCCATGGAAACCAAAATGCTGATATCCTGTTTGTTTGTCCCTCCAATTATTTACCCTCTCTGAAGCTTTTCACACTATTGACCAATTTTTTTTTTTTAGGGTTTCTCCAATATCGTCATCTCCTGGTTCATAGCCTGCTTATTTTTTCCTTGGTTCTGTGTAAGTGTTTCCTTTTTCTCAATCTCGTCCTCATCGCTGATATACTCTAAAGTTCTGTCTTTCACCATCTTTTTACCTTACCATCTTTCCTGGACAAATTTACCCTTTCTCATGGCTTCATCACTATGCTAATTCACAACAATATCTTTAACCTAGATGTTTCTTATAAAGCCAAATTCTATGAATGTCTCCTTTAGATGTACTTCAAATGTCTGCAGCTCCATCAACATATCTAAGACTAAAACACTTGGGTCATCGCAACTTTTCCTTTTTCATTGACCTTTCTTCCTTCTATTTCTTTCTAATGCCATCTCCAGCCTCTTGCAATTAGAGGATGAGTAATTGTTTTTTTTTTCATCATTTTTTATTTGTCTCTTTCCTTCGTAATCATCATTTTTGCTCCTTCCTGAGGACCTTGTCTACTCTGCCTAGTCGACTACAACATTATCCTATCTCCCTTCCTTCAACTGAGCTTCTCCAATCTACTCTTGTTACTCCTTACATTTTTCTTTTTCTTTTTTAAGATTTATTTATTTATGCATACTGAACTGGGGTACAGGCCAGAGGTACAGGGGCGGTGAGAGGATTCACCAGAAACAGAATGGGGAGCAGAACAGGCAGATCAATGAAGTACATTGTTGAGGGGAGCAGCAGGCAGGTCAGGAAAAGACTGCCTTGCCATATAGATCACCTCCGGGGCAGGCGGGGTTCGAACTCATGCTGAAGTGGCTTTAGCTTCTTAGTGCTGTGCTTTAACCCACTGCGCCACCAGGGGGTTTTTCTAAAACCCCCTTACTTTTTTCTAAAATGTAAAAGGCTGATATAATCCCTACTGAGTCTTCCTTAATTCCTCACTGCTAGTACCAAGTCCAGACTCTGTGGAAAAGAATATCCTGTTAGCCTGTCCTAGTTTCTGCCACACTCGCATGTTTATACAGAGGAATGCAAGGAATGAAAACATGATAACATGACTTTGAGGTATATTTAAGGAATTTTGTTTAATTCTGAAATTTAGTGAGAAAAATAGCTTTCAAAGAGGAGGTAATATGTTAAAAGTCTAAAAATTATCAAAGTTTATTTATTTAAAAGATCTTCTATTTGGCAAGACAAATTGAGAAATGGTCAGATTTGGAAAATGTGAGGATATGAGAAGCAGGATGTGAAAAGAAAAGATAGGGATGGTCTCCAAAATGGAATTCTGCTCTACATATTATTTAAAAAACACTATTGCTCCTGTACCAAGTATAAAAATAGATAATACCACTTTAAGTAATTCCATTTCTAAAATATTGCCAGTTGTTACTTTTAAGTCTATGTAGGCACATATAGTCTTATGTTGTTAGAAAATTTTTACTAGCTAAGTGATCGCTACTAAAGAATTTATATAACAGGGCCCTCCATAGTTGTGCAGCGGATTGAAGTGCAGCACTGCAAGCTGGCCACAGCTGCCTTAGTGCGAATTCGATCTCCAGCCAGGAAGCTGACCCACATGGCATAGCATGTCTCTCCTGTCTCGTTGCTGCTCCACTCAGCAGTGTACTTCATCGGTTTTCCTGTTTTGCTCTCCACTCTGTCTCTGGTGAATCCTTTCACTACTCCTGCATTCTGGCCTGTACCCAAGTTCTGTATGCATAAATAAATCTTTTTTAAAAAAAGAATTTATGTGACAAATATTGCTTATTATCTCAAGATTTATTGATGAATTTGGGCCAACCTAGAAAAATGTTGCAGTCACTTCTTCAAAAATAGCTAGAGACTAGATTTCAGTGTCCTAATAGTCCTGTCGTATGGTTAAATACTACTTTATAATCTTTCTGTTGATTTTTTAGGACCATACAAAATTAATTATAAATTCACATTAATGGTTTTGCATTTATAAATCACTTTAAAGAGCCCAAAAAGTTAATTTTGTGCTAAAATTTTATAACAATAATAAAACAGATATGACAAAATATTAACATTGATTGGATCAGGTTGAAGAAGGAGACAACAGATATTTACCAGGCTTACTATTATTTATACATTTATTTATGACAAATTTTATGCGAGTTCTTGTAAGTTACATAATGACACTGTCATACTCTATCTAAGGACAATATATAGAGACCTACGAGTCATCTATTGACCAGAAATCCCAACTGAATGAAGTAGATATATTTTCCATTCTAGACCAACACCATTTTCTGTAAAGTGTTAAATGAAAATAAAAAGATTTGATGGTTTTCATTGGTAATATTTCCTGTATATTCTGAAATAATTATTTTTATTTCCCCAGGACTTTTCAACATGGCATGGATGCATCTACTTCCAATTCCTTAAAACCAATTTTCAAACAGCCATTACACTGGCTTTCTTGCATATCACATTTCTATCCTTTGTTACTCAGGTAAGAACTTCTAAATGCTATACTATCTATACTTTTGATTCCTTTCAAAGTTAAATATAAACTTAAATCCATGGAGGTAAATGCATCTTATAAGAGGAAGCTAAAACTTTTATAATATGCAAGTTCAAAATGTGAATTAATTCTTTTTTTCTGAGCATAAGAATCCAAGATAGAAGCCTGACCTAAAGGTTTGGTGATGTAATAGAAACGTGGATTTTTGGAAATTTTGGGTTTTTCTTATTTATTTTTCTCTAGATGTATTTTAGGTAATTGTCTAGTCATTTCAAAATTTATACTTCTTGATCTATAAACAGCGGACTTGATTTTTCTACAACTACCTATCAAATTAAGAGAGCAAAACAGATTCTTTATTCATCTAACCAACTTAGAGTCTACTAAATGTTGGAACTGGGATAACTACTAATAATTATGAACAGGACCTTTTACTTTTATTTTTTAATTAACAGCATTTAAATATTTTTTAAAAATCATTTTAAGTGTAAAATATACTTCCAGAGTAATCTGGTGACATTTTGTGGCATTATGGAGAATGTCAGTTTGATTCTTTGCTGAATACATCATTTGAATGTGCCTTTCCTTGGTATCTGAATAAATATATCATATATAGCTGCAGGAGATACTGTTATTCTCCATACATTCATGATTCATCTTGGAAATATGCTATCTGATTTCATCACCCACGTTGACTGACAGTATCTCTTTCTTTAGGAACAAGAGTCCTACTCATAACAGAGACTTTGAAAACCTCATACACAAAGTCTCTATTGACACAGCATACACTGTTTACCTATATGTGCCTGCTCCCGTATAACGAATGAGGAATACAAGATCCATAGCTCTACCTTCAATGAACTCATATATTTCACTCATATATGAAACTTTTCAACAGCTCTGATTAATTCCTCATGAGTGATTCCTGAAAATGGAATACCATCAATACTGTGTCATCTCAATAGCATGTCACTGCACTTGTAAATATATCTCGTGTTTGAGAATTAAATAGTTGACTCATTAACACTCATGATGGCAAAAATAGTAAACAAGTGGATCTTTTACAAGTGTGAACTAAGCAAACAACCTGCATCATTTTGGTTAGTTCCCAAACTTCTAAACATATTTGTTCTCTATACTATCATCATATTTAACTGCTTTTATCTTTATTTAGAACCAGTGGAGTTAACTCCCATTATGTATAGCTTTAGAACCCTTCCAACTCCAGGCTTGCTTAGTTCAGCCCAGCTAGAGGACCAGGAAGTCCAGAAAGGATTACCTGGGGCATGAAGCTCACTGCAGTCACTTCAGCGTGAGTTTGATCCCTCACTAGGGAGGTGACCCACAAGGCATGGCAGACAGCTCCCGCCCCACCCACTGCTCTGCTCAGCAGTGAACTTTGCTGATCTTCCTGCTCTGTTCCTGGCTTTGCCTCTGGTGAATCCTCTTACCACTCCTGCACCTCTGTCCTGTACCCCAGTTCTATATGCACAAATAAATGAATCTTTTTAAAAAAAATTAGGATTACTTTACAAATAGTTAATTTCTTTCTTACATTTAACCTCTTTCTCTTTTCTATACTTAAAGTGAATATTAATATAAGAAGACTATCTTTCTATTGTGTGTAGCAATTTATCTCCTCTATTGTCCTAACGCAAAGATTAAAATACGGAGGTACTATTCAGCCTATAATAAAATTTGATAAAGCTTTCTGGGAATAGTTTAATAGGATCTATCAAAAACCTTAATAGTATTTGTATCCTTTTATCCAACAATCCACCTCCAGGAGTCAGTCATAAGGAAGTTCATAGAGCTGATGAAAAGTTTTATATGTAAGGATATTCATTAAAGGATTATTTGTGAAAAAAATGAAAATAAATATCAGTATTGAATTAGACCAATGAATTATAGACAGTTATATGATAAACTACTACAAGGTGACAAGTACTTATGATTTATAGATAAAGGAAAACTATAGATTATTACTTCATTAAAGCTGGCTCAATTTTTACAGTAATAACTATGTACTAGACATTCCCAGTACTTCATGTATATTATCTCTTTTAAACCTCAACCCAGTTTGTGAGATAAGTACTTATGTGTTTCTTTAATGGAGAATAAAAAGGTGTGTAGGAAGAAAACCAAAGAGAACAAAGTTGGCAGGCCAACTCTGAAACCAGGCTTGTCCACTTCCAGAACTCAGGCTTCAGACAAAAATATGCTTCCACTTTGCAAAGGAAAAACAGAGTAGGATGATAATGACAGATGTTCATGAAAAACCTAAGGCTTCCAGTTATTCATTAGGTGAAGTCTCTTTATAGGCTTCAACTTTGCCGAGGCTCTGATATTCTAGTATGTAATGTTTATCAAAAGATTGGGATCTAGTATGCAGACTGTTCAGACAGGCAAAATGAGATAGCCTCTGTTTCCCAAGGGATATACAGTTATTTGAAGTTGGCATGCAATTGAGAAGTGTTGAACTATGCCAAGCTATTATAAATGTAGCCTTAAAATGTCTAGAAAAAAGACCCTCCCTGGTGGCGCTGCGGGTTAAAAAAAACACAGCACTAAGAAGCTAAAGCCACTTCCGCATGAGTTCGATTCCCACCTGCCCCGGAGGTGACCACATGGTGTGGCAGACCTTTCCTGACCCGCCCGCTGCTTCATCGATCTGCCTGTTCTGCTCCCCGCTCTGTCTCTGGTGAAGCCTCTCACCACCCCTGAGCCTCTGGCCTGTACCCCAGTTCTGTATGCACAAATAAATAAATCTTAAAAAAAAAAAAGTCTAGAAAAGCACTTTGAAAGGACCTGTACCAGAGAATTTGTAGCCTTTATCTTTGTATAAAGATTGCACATAATTTGAATAGTTACATGTCATTTTCTGTTTTCCAAATTTCCTACAATATAAGCAATTAAATTTTATTAAGATAAAAATAATTTAAAAACAAAAAGAAACCCCATTTTGAAATTGCCCATCTGTTCATCTGTCTTAACCTTTACCCTTCTATACAGATGATTTCCAGCTCTGCATCTCTGGCTCTAGCTCTGTCTCTGTCACTATCTTGCCTTTCCTCCAACACTGGCTATGTTGCCCCTCAGTATCACTGGGCATCAATGTCCTCAGCTGATGCTGTCTTTTACTCTTCCCTTGTACAACATCTACACATGGTATCTTTTCTTTTAGCAGTGTCATCATTCTTAAATAATTCCAGGGTAGACTCGTGAGCATGGCTTCCACATTGAACTGCTTCTTTGCCCGTTCCCAGTGTTTTACATGTTAGTTGATTCTTCCTCCAGTGGTCTCTTAGAGCTACTCTTTCTCTCTAATCCAGTGCAACAAACTTAGTCCATTCTTACTATTATTTGACATCTTTAAAATATTGTTTTCATTGTACATTTTCCACTCAATTATTTATAGGAGCTTCTTTTCACACCCTCGGTCTCCTGAATTAGTTTCCAAATCACTCAACAATTTCTCTGCTCCAGACTTCAGTATCTTCACTTGTCTTTAAGACACAGTTATTCCAAGCTTTTTCCTTTTATGTATCTCTTATTCCAAACTTAGGACCTTTATTTATATAGTTTTGTCTCCTGGAATGCATTTAGTTATCTCCTTTGCCTTTCTAAATTCTTTGTGCAAGGTAGAGTATGAACTCCCCTACACTGAGTGCCATATATTCTGACAATTAATCTCTAACAGGTCCTATAATCTATTTAGGAAGACATGATCCATGAAATTTATGATCCAACATGTTCAAAGCAGTGATGTAGTCAGAGGACTCCAGGGCAGCAATAAAAGAAACTTCAAAGTAGCATTTACAATTATCAAATATGGCAATGGAAATTCCTAGATCACCATCACAGCACCTTAAAAATCTCTGTCCTTACACCATTTGCCTTTCACAGGCATATAAACTGTTTCTGTTTCACTCCCAAATTTTCCTTCAAACCTCCATTCCTTCTCTGTAAAACTACATTGAAATTTTCAGAGAAGTACATGGATTGGCTCATGGCAAACTAATAATATATTAGGTATTTCATTCTGGTTAACGAGAGACTGTGAAGAATCTACTGAAATTTTAATATTTTGAAATATCTTAGTAATTTATTCATCTATTTGCTTATCTTCTGTACATCAATGTAAGTCAGCCTTTAACAGCATTAAATATATGAATAAAATGAAGTGCAGTGAATTAAAAGTAGATGTGGAAATTAAAAGTAGGTAAAAATGGAAGAAACAGAGCAAGGAAGAAGACATGAAATTACAATAAATTAGGAGATACATATACATAGTCATGTTGGCCACAAATTCATTTAGAGAAAACTATGAAGTATATTAACAGGTAAAAAGAGATTTTTCACATTCTGTTAGAACTGCTAGAATAAAATTTAAAAAGAGTTTGCTTTGGGGAAAGAAGTATATTTTCAAAGTGGTAAGTCATATGTATTCATTATTCCTAGCAGTAATATAGGCCAACAGTAATTTGGAAATTTGAGGTAATTTGGAAAGGGTGATAAGCTTTACACACACAGCAAGGCATATAGAAAGTTCATTAATCTCAATGTTAATACTTGAACACCATTCTATGTTTTCATTCAAGAAATAAAAACTCTCTTAGTCAATTATAATATGTTGCATTATAATATTTTTATTACTTTTCAAATTTCATTTTCTTGTGTTTTTTTAAAATATTTTAAATATATTTTAGATCTTCCTTAGCTAAGTAGGCTATAGCTGTACACTGAATCATAGTATAATCAGTGTGAATAAACAATCCATTCATTTTATACATCTTTTATTTGTTTTATGATGGCAACATGATGTTTTGATTTGTGGCCAGTTCATTTTGAACTGTAGATATTTTCTGCTATGCTTTTGTTTTTACTATACTTTAATCAATGTAATTCTGTTTTGGATTTATGTACTTCTTTTCCCCTCCCTAAATGCATATCAATATCAGGACATGATTCAATCATTTGTTAACGTA